TTTCTAGGCATTTATTAAGATTAAATAACACCCCCACAGAAATATATATGTATATATGTGTGTATTTATATGGATATCTAAAAATAATGTACTTCAGATGCCTATTTGATATTTTGAATTCAATGTCACTACTACAGGGATTTTTTTTTTTTGGAGAGTGGTGGAGTACTGGGGATTGAACTAAGGGGCACTGATCACTGGGCCACACCCCCAGCCCTATTTTTTGTATTTATTTAGAGACAGGGTCTCAGTGAGTTGCTTAAAAACTGGCTTTACTTTTGCTGAGGCTGGCTTTGAACTTTTGATCCTCTTGTCTCCGCCTCCCAAGCCACTGGAATTACAGGCATGCGCCACAATATCCAGCAGGGATTTTTAAAAAATCTAACTTCTACTAAAAAGCACAGAAGATGATAGAATTATTTCATATTTTTATTTTCTTTATCCTGTGTTTTACATACCACTTTCTAAGGAAAATAATACTAATACACCACTATTAGTATGATTATAAAACACAGTTATATAAGTGATTTTGAACTCATACTATCCTATTCCTTGTTCATATTTTAGTAATTGAATATACCTACAATATATGGGTATATAAACATTATGTACAATATTCTTTTCCCTTAAACTCTCCTAGCTCTAAATGTAATTATAAATATAGTGCTCACCATCAGTGCTTATATTGATATGTCTCTACCTATTTTGGTTGCTAAAATTCTCAGAATGTGCTCATGAGAACATTCTTGAGTTATTCAATATTTAATAAATGTTTGACTTATACTTTTTTATATTTGAAAGTCAATTTTGCTGGATATAAAATCCTTGACATATGTATTGTGTCAATGAAATTCTTGAATATGTTATTAGGTATATTATGTATGTTATTATTTTCTCTTATGTCATAAACATTATTATCCAAGTCTGATGATAGCCTAATTTTCTTTTCCTTTTAAAATGATTGATTTTTTTTTAAAGAGAGAGAGAGAGAATTTTTTGATATTTATTTTTTAGTTTTCTGTGGACACAACATCTTTATTTTACTTTTATGTGGTGTTGAGGATCGAACCCAGCACCCTGCACATGTCAGGCGAGTGCAGTTACCGCTTGAGCCATATCCACAGCCCCAAATGATTGATCTTTTTAGAATTACCCAAAGGATTTTTTTTCTTTAAAGTTCAGTAATTCTGTTATAGTAAGACATTAATGGTATAGTCCAAGTCTAAATTTTCAGGTACATATGTGCTTTTTTACTATATAGTTTCCAAATTTACTTCAAGAAAGTCTTGAAAAAATTCTTCTTACCAAAGCAAAATCAATCAAACAAGCAAACAAAAGCAAAGAGAAGAAAAGAAAAAGATTCTTGAAGAAAAGTTTTGGGGTTTTAGTTTTTAGTATTTGTTCTATCCCATTGCTTTGGTTTTTTATTTCAGGGATTTTTGTGATCAAAATCTTGATGTCTTTCCAAGATGATGTCTTCAATATTTTCTCTCTTCACTGTAACTTCCTTCTAATCACTTTCTTTTTATTTTTGAAAATTTTAAACTACATACAAATAAAGTAAAATTCATCTGCTTTTGTGTATAGTCCTGTGGATTTTAAGCAATTCATAAAACTTTATAATCATCACTACAATTAAGAACATTACATTGTTTCCAGTTTGAGGTAACTATAAATAAACCAGACATAATAATTTGTGAATGGGTTTTTATGTAATATAAATTTTTATTTCTCTTGGGTAAATGTATAGGAGTAGGATTTCTAGTTGACATGGTGAGTGTGTTGTGACAGGTATTCTGCCACTAGAAAGAATTAGGTTAATGTGAAAAATAAAAAGAAATTAGTATTCAAGGAAATGACCTAATATTGTTAGTAAGTTCTTGGTCTCAATTATTTCTAATATCCAGGAGTTTGTCTCTAGTTGGTTATCCAATTGTTGCTTGAATTTCATGAAATAAACTAACATCCTTTAGATAATTCTTTTTTTGTTCCTTTAGGCAATTCTAAATAAATATCCATCTCATGAAACCAAAGTAAGACCTCTGATACTTTTCATAGGCCCCTTAGAAGGAGCTAGCCACTGTGCTAAAACTCTTACATGCATTTTATAATTTGCATGGATATCCAGCCTATTGGTGGCAATGAAAATTGAACTCATTGTTATGAAAAAGAATGAGGAGAAAAAATGAAAACTAAATAACTTATATGGAAATGACATGTTTATTAAAGATTTATAAATATGCTGTCAAGATTTTCAATGTATTTCTTGTTTTTGAGAAATACACTTTTCACTACAAATGACTTTATTGTTTAGTATACACATTTCAATGTTGATAAATAAGATACAAGTGCACTTTGCACAAAAGAACAGGCTACATTGCTATGAATTCATACATACATATGTATATTACTTCTTTTATGTATATGTTAATAAATAAAATATTCATGAACTGAGGCCTTAAAATGAAAGACTTAACACTATGATGACTAAAGCACTTTTCTATTTCCATTAGTTTTAACAATATTTAGTTTGAAATTCCCTTGGGGACAGATGTTTAAAATATAAATGATATAAAAGACCCCTAAATATGACCATGACCTTTATTGAATAATTTAAGATACTTTGATATCTTTTCCATTTGAGGACGAATACTCTCTTTTCTTAAATAAGTACAGTTGATGCATGCTTCTGGATATGGGAAGAGGTAAAATATAATGTGTGGGTTAAAGGGCCCAGGAAAGGCTTCACCGAGAAGATGGCATTGGATCTGGTTATTATAGATTATTGGTGTCAGGAGACCATTGGCACTAATGAGAATAAACTTATTAAATTAAATTATGTATGCAATGTACTCAACTGGGGTTGAGACAATAGATTCTCCTTCAAAAAGTTATTAAATATCTTCTTTGAAGTAGTTTGAACATCCCATTGAAATCATCAAATCTATGTGGCTATATTATTATTATTTTTTAAAAATCATGCCTTTAATCCTTCCTCCTGCCATCATGATAGAAAGCAACTTCTAAAGAAATTTTTTCCCTACAAAATTTATGATTGAATATTGTATTGTATTTAGCTAAGATTCTATACTGTATCTTTACTTGTATTTGACTGATGTAAGTTCCAGCAAGAGAGCTGTTTTAAAATTTTAATGACCTCTTGGAGAAAATAATAGGTCATTAAAAGCGAACATTATTTACTCACCAGAGATCAAAGAATCAATGTGGTCACTCAGTAAAATATGCCGTAAGGCTTAAAAAATGACTTTTAAATGGCTTTTTAGAGTGATAAAACAATCTCAAAGCTATAAGAGTATACTTTAAAGCAGGAAAAAATTATCATGGCATTTAGAAGCAGTAGGAAAAAAAATAAAATATAGCATATTTGTAATTGATTACAACAGGTCCTCTGACATTTCTGTGTACTAAGGGGCTTGCTCATGAAGCCAATGCTAAATAGAGAAGTGCTGCTGATTATTTATGAAATATTGAAGAAATAATGATTCATCTTTGGCATGAATTCTGAATTAATCTCTTCAGGACTTGTTTTGTATGTAGCATTAGCAGCCTGATTTGACCCACATGGATAAGAGACCATTGTAGAAACTTATGATTACAACTTTTCTAAATGATGATGAGGTCTTGATTTAACAATATACTCTCTCACCCCAAAGATTGTCTTAATAAACAAGAAATTGCACACATTTTCTAATAGCATTTGTGTGTACTTTAGTAAATGTGTTATAATATATGTGATACCATGTTAGATATCACTTGAATGATTTTGATCCACTATTTGAATTGCATTTGGTAATGCTAAAGACTGCATAATTTGAAGTGATTGTCAGTGTGCCACCATTGATTGATGTCCTCAGTCTTCAAAAACAATAGTGAGATATGGGGTGGTCCAAGACTCTGGGCAGGTGAACTTCATCCATTTTTCTTAGCATATGATATAATGTCCAATTTCTATGTATATCATTTCAACAAAATGTTGGGAAACAGCATTTGTTGAGCAGCAATTATATGGAAGATATTGGCTTATGAGCTAAAAGTCACTTAAAAACAAACAACCAAATGCCAAATGTTTTCTTTGATATAAGGAGGCTGATTCATAGTGGGATAGAGAAAGGGAGCATGGGAGGAATAGACGAACTCTAGATAGGGCAGAGGGGTTGGAGGGGAAGGGTGGGGGCATGGGGTTATAAATGATGGTGGAATGTGATGATCATTATTATCTAAAGTACATGCATAAAGACATGAATTGGTGTGAATATACTTTGTATATAACCATAGATATGAAAAATTGTGCTCTATATGTGTAATAAGAATTGTAATGCATTCTGCTGTCATATATACATAAAAATAAAAAAATCTGTTTGATAATAAAAATAAAAAACATGATTTGTTCTGTAATAAATACATTGATAGAAGATATGCAATGGATAAAAAAACAGTAATGAATAAAAAGTAGTCCCAAACTCAAAGACTTTTAATTTGTGCTTTATTTTTTGGTTTGTTTGTTATATTCTTTTTTTTCTTTTTTTGTGGTACTGGGGATTGAACTCAGGACCTCACACATGCTAGGCAAGTGCTCTACCACTGAGTGATACCCCCAACCCTTAATTTATATTTGAATGAATTTATCATGTATTCCAAGCCCCCTTGTCCTCTGTGCTGGAGATCAGTCTTGCAAGATCAAGGTAAGTCTTCTAGGCTAAAGTCTTTATAAATCCAGTCAATTTCAGCCTTCTCTCCTGCTCCCCATGGACTATCTAGGCTCTTGATATTTCTTTATCTCCCTGACACTCAATGAGGGGGCATAGTCTATGGCTCCTATCTGCTTGAATGAATTTCCATATGTCCTCTCTGTGTCAGCAGAGTATAGTGATTGTTCTGGGAAGCTCATGCAGTACAATACCTCCCCTAACTCATCATCCACTTACCCTTCAGGTATGCCATATCTTAATTTTCACCTACCCTTTGTGTCTACTGTTCAGGAGAGTCTTTTTGGATCCTCAGCATGTCCTACAGCATTCCAGGAAAGATGATGGAGTGGTCATGAATCTCAAGACACTTTTTGCCTAGACTTTCCAGTTGTAATTTATACCTAAAAACAGTGGCTCCTTTTAGCAAGCATCATACTGCTAGTCAGCCTCGTTTTAGAAATCCAGATATGGAATGGAAATTTTCTGTCTTCATATTCTCAATATCTGTGGTTGTTCTGGACTCCACTTCTCTGGGTATCAAAGCTTCAGTGGAAGAAAGATGGATTCAGGGACAACAGTTGCAAGCAGCTTTTTTTCTCAATCCTCTCTAAGCTATTTCTTCCACCTCATATAAGCCTATCCAAAGTTCTGGACAACCGAGCTTATGTAAGCATACTTCTTCCTTTCACCTTCTGTAGTTTATAAACTAATCTGATATTTTTTTCAAAATGTTTCAGTAGAAAACTTCTGTGAGAAATACATTTTCATATTAACCTCAGAAATCACACTCTAAGCATTCTAACTTAATTGCAGTGCACTCATTTCATTAGAAAAAAAATAATGCTGATCTAGATCCAGTAAATTGATTTCCTGACCTGCTTGTGGCCTTGACCAATATTTTGATAAAGCAGAGCTATATACCTTTATTCTGAGTGTCTCTCTACTCCTAAGAATCAACACTAGGTTTTTAGAAACCTTGTAGACATTTTCTCCTTCTGAGTAGATTGGGCTTAAAAGTAGAAAGAGCATTGACCATTAGAACTAAAGATGTATGCCATGTAGTTAAAGAATCCATTCAAAAATCCATTTGTGGCTTGGCTATGTAGCTCAGTGATAGAGTGCTTGTCTAGCATGCATAAGGCTCTGGGTTCAATCCCCAGTACTGCCAAATAATTTTTGAGTAGTTTTTTGTTGTTGTTCTATATCTATATGTAATATTTTTAGGTACATGAATACAGAGTAGTAAGAAAAATGAAAGAAAAAATCTGCCAAATTTATCTGCTACACATAAATCAGACTCAGCAGCACAGAATATTAAAATGCCACAAAACCTGAGAGGTATTAATTCTCCCAACTGTTCACAATGAACACTAATCTTCACAGGGTTTATCTGACTTGTCCAAAGCCAATGCCAGAGTTTGTTAGAGCCCAAAGTTAAACCCTTGGCTCTTGGCTATCATCTAACCAGGTAATACTGTCCAATCTCTTCTTTCAGAAAATTGGCCAATACAAGTACATAGAGTGTACTAAAATGGGTGGTGTTGATTCCACATGATATGCTTAATGATACGTTTCCCCCCTGACCTTGATGGGTCTGAGATTGAAGTATTCATTATGGTAGACACAGTTTCCCTAATTTTCTATTTTCTTTCTCTCTATTTTTTTCTTGTTTTCACCATACTTTGGGTGGAGCATGCTGCCTCTACTTCTGTGGAAACACTATTAGGCCTTGGTCTTAAGGAGTCTTAATGACTTGTGCTATAAAACAAACTTTTGAAGATTAAACTGATTGTTACTTTACTATTTGGCCAATTCACTCAGTAATATAGTGTCATTCTCTATTTTTCTCTTCTTAGGGAAGACATATTTTATACACTGACATGAAGGTATCCGGATAGTTCTGATGATCTACTTCAGGTATGGGCAAAGAGAGGTTTATTTGAAAAAAATATTTATCTTAAGAAAAAGTGCTTAACTCTTTTAGAAAGTGATTTATCAATGTTTGTCAAAGATTTTTGAACTACATGTTAGTGTTTATCTCAGAGTTGTGTCTAATAATAAAATACTACATTGAGTAAGACTTAAATATCAAATATAATTTGATGAAATAGATTATGATACTTGTATAAAATAAATTATTATTAGCCCCTGAAATATGATACTAATGATCAGTGCCCAAGAATATGGAGAATGTTTGTGTTTTAAAGGTTTTATTAAGGACATATGAAATTGTATCCTCAGTATGAAATTAAATATATAAAAATAATTGCATAGAAAAATATAAGAAGGGGCTGGGGATGTGGCTTAAGCGGTAACACGCTCGCCTGGCATGTGTGGGGCACTGAGTTCGATCCTCAGCACCACATAAAAATAAAATGAAGATGTTGTATCCACTGAAAAACTGAAAAATAAATATTAAAAAATTTTTTCTCTCTATCTCCTCTCTCTTTCTCTTTAAAAAAAAGAAAAAAGAAAAATATAAGAAGAAATAGATCAAGATATGTCTAGCTTTGGGAGATGGAATATGGTGGTCATATTTTCTTCTTTCTGAATTTTAATTTCTTTCTTTAATTATCATGCATTAAAGATACTGAGAAAAACATAAATTAATGTAAAAGAATGATAAAATATGTAAAATTGATTTAAAATACTGAAAGCAGAAAAAACGATCAAGTTTAAAATTTTTAAGATTTTTATATTGTGTTTGAGTACAATTGCATTTGAATACAATATTTAAGAGAGTTTCATGAGTTGGGGAATTAGTAATTTTTTACATGGTATATCCTGTGATGTAAAGTCCATGAATCACAGCCACTATTAGTAACACAAAATATAAAAAGAGCTATTGAATAGAAGGAAAAGATATTGAATAGAAAGAACATCAATCTTTAAGGAACAAGTGAAATTATTATTTAGTATTTTGAGTGGGCAGAGTGTTTGTTTATGTCCTGCTGCTATTTAAAATTTAGGACTATTATTATTAAATTCAGAATAAAGGGACAAGATGGAAAAAAAATAAATGAATAGCTCTTTTACCTCCTCTCTGAGGAAGTTACCTGCAATCAATCCTGCTAGAATGAGCAGCGGATACAAATAGATCTGCTTTCTTGAATTCACCGACTGCCTCCACAGTCCACACTGCACAAGTTGAAGCAATCTTCCTTTCAAAATATTGATTTCCTATGGAATTGTCATTTGAAATGATGGATCTACAGTTGGGTTGGAACCTAGAGAAAGCCGATGGTTGTGTTTGTGTAGCAGGCATGAATCTTGATAGGCTTTGTCCTCCACACAAAGGACAAAAGGAAAGGAAAGAAATTTTTAGAGTTGGGAGAAAGATTAAGGAAAATACTTTAATCATCTTTAAATTTTATAAAACAACTTCTAAACTTATGACAGAATTATTTTGAGCCTATCATTTCATAGTAGTTAGTTTTTTTTAAAACTATTATTCTTAAAGCCATAGTAGTCATAGTTATGTAGTTTTCAACAGAAATACAGAATGTTTTACTTTATTGGTTAGACTATTCATTTGTATAATTTTCTTTTTCCTAGAGGAAGTCTGAAGGCTGACCCTTGGGTCAGAATGTTAACAATCCTTTCCTAGTAAGTTCTCTTTTCTAGGAAACCTGAAGCCTTGCATTTGAGAAGGGAGGGCCTGTTTTTTCTTTCCTTACATCTTAATGTATTTGAACCTTCTCTCTTTCCGCCAATCTTCTTTTGTGTCTTCTTTTGTGTGATATGGATTTCATCCACATGGATCTTCCCTTTTTGTAGTATGTCATTGCTTTTTTCTGTCACAATTCAGCTCAGTTATTACATTGTTCCTTTTATTTTCATGTCATTCCTCTCTTGTTATTTTTTACATCAAAAGCAGCCCAACTTCCTTGGTTTGGGATTCACTAATTAGACTGGTTACTTTCTTGACATGTATTTCTTTCTATTGTCCTGGGTAGACACAAAACTATTAATATATCCTTTTCTCCTTAGACTTTAAGAATAACCTACAATGCAAAGTGTGTGCATATGAGTAAATACTCATGTATTTAAGTATATGCTAAACAAATACATTAAGTTAATATCCTAATTAATATATAACTATTATCAATGAATACAATATTATTAATAAATAAATTTTCTAAGAACAAAAATTTGGCTTTATTATTAGACAATAGTTTTAAACTATTCTATAGAGAAATTTTTGTCAAAAAGTCACTGATATCTGTCCCTATATCAAGTATAATAAGTCAGATTAAACCATTTGTAAGTGATGGAATATGATCACCGAATACAAAATATCAGGTACTCACAAGAATTTTTAAATTTATGTATCTATGTATCTGTGTAGACTGAGATATATCTGTCTATATCTAAATTTACTTCTTTCTGTATATCTAGAGAGATATTGAGAGATGTCTATCTATGTATATCTACATATAGAAATGGATATATCAATAACAAAGAATCATAGTGATCCTTTACACTAAGAAAAGAATTACCCAATATCACCAGATGGTTGGGGTGGCTTGATGAGCTGAGTTTAAAGGAGCTGGATGCAGCAATAACTAAGAAAACGGTGAAGAACTCATGCAACATACAAAAATGAGTTTCTAAGATTAAGGGCAGGACTGCTTAGTGATCCCAAGGGTCAGCTGCACACTGAGCAACGTTGGAGAAAGTGGAGAGAGAGAGAGAGAGAGAGAGAGAGAGAGAGAGAGAGAGAGAGAGAGAGAGAACCCAGAACCCCCCTATTTATTGGGGAAAAGACATTGGATAGAATATTCCACCCAAATAAGGCAAGGGGTAGGGTTTCAAAGGGTGGAGTCTTGCTTGGTAATGTCTTGTGGTCAGCAGATTGATTGACATCTTGGCAAATCACACCCATCTCAGGTGCTTTGTGGGATCATAGGCAGAGCGAGAGGAAAGGCACACTTGCTTCTCACAGCCCAAACTGTGCGTAATGCCGAACAGTCCCCTAATATGCTCAAATGTGCATAGCTCACATACACAGCCCATGGATGGCTGGAGACAACCCAATGTCTCAGAAATTTCTGAGATCACATGGTAAATATTTGAGGAGACAGATATGTTTAATTTTATTTAAACATTATGCAATGTACACATATATCAAAACATTCTATGATACCCCATTTATTTGCACAATTTTATGTTATTTTTAAAATAGTTGTTGATGGACACACAGAATACATTTATTTTATTTATTTTTATGTGGTGCTGAGGATTGAACCCAGTGCCTCACACATGCTAAGCAAGCACTCTCATACTGAGCCACAACCCCAGCCTACAATTTTATGTTTTTATATATCAGTTAAAATAAATTTAAAAATTTTTATGAGTACCTTTTGTATAGTATTCAGTGATCATGTTCCGTCACTTACAAATGGTTTAATCTGATTTATTATACTTATATCTTTCTCTTTCTCTTTATCTATCTATCTATCTATCTATCTATCTATCTATCTATCTATCTATTTTTCTTACTATCGAGTTGGGGAAGCACATATTAAAGATTTATATCTCTCACTCACTCTCTCTCACAATGAAGATACATTGAAAATAGGTGTTTCTCCCCTTCTCTAGTTTGTTGTTTTTAATCTAATTTTGACTACACAAAATCATATCTAAACCTAGAATTCTGTTGTAAGTGGAATTGTCACTGAATGATATTTAAAAAAAATAACATAAGAGTATGAGCTTTAGTACACAGGTTTTGACTTCTGTTTTTGTCTTTTTGAGGCAAAAATAAAGCATCATATTTAATAAAACATTTTGTTTCTTTCTTTCTTGTTGGACATATGAAACAATGGGGTAAGTGTGATGTTGAAATATTTGATTATTCTTAAGTGATATACATAATAATAGGTAGATCAACTATTAAAATATTCTGAGGATTAAAAGCATCTTGTATACATGTATTTGATACTCAGTCATGCAGAAAAAAGAGTAAGGAAGGGTAGAGAGAGAAATAAAGAAAGAGAGAATGAGAGACAGAGAGAAAGAGAACACAACAGAGAGGGGGAATCCTTTCCTTTCTGGGGCGAATGAACCAAAACCTGTAGTTTGAAACTCATTTAATAACCACCTCTAGCTTACTTCCCTAATTTGAATCACAGCTTCGACAACATTGTCAAGCTAGCAGCAACCTCACTCATCCTTGTTTTGTTTAGGAATACATTACATATATTTGTTGTTTTAGAGAATATACTTCATTTGGAGATCAGACTAGGATGTGTGCTAGGTATATGAACATTAGGTGGAATAAAACGTAAAAACACCGACCTGGAGTTGTGAGTTTCTGATTCTGGCAATCAACTGAATATCTGAAATACTGTAAAAACGGAGTAATCATTTGAGACATGCTTGCTGGTGATAAGTTGTCATCATGGCAGCATCTTATTATTGAACAAGGGGTAATTTTTGAATGGGGATGACTCTTCCAATTTGGACAAGAATACACATCAGGATTCAGGTGCTCACTTCAGTTTCTAGTTAGAGAAATTTTAATTGATCCAAGATCTATATATTAGGAACATGAATCAAACAGATTTTAATAGTAAAATAATTTCTACTCTAATAATATAATCTAGCATTTTTTAAAAGATTCTTTTAAAGATTTAAAAATATCATGTTAAAATTAAAAATAAATGAATGTTTTCAAGCCAGAGTTCATTCTGGTTTAAAATTGTTAAATCATTAATTGGAAGTTTTATTTTAACAGTACTTTTAAAGTAGAAATCTGTCCTCTATCAAGACAGTAATCCTGTATTGAAATTATCCTACAAATAAAATTTTAATTAGACATAGTACAAAAATGAATATGACATTCATTTTCCATATATATAGACAGAAGGATTTTATGTTACTTCTCTCTGTGCATGTGCATTGTTAATAGGAAATTAGTGGCATTTGCTAAAATACTCTACTTAGACCCCTTGCATTTATTTTTACAAAGGAAGTAGTTTACATTTGATGTTGAGTAAAATAGGATAAGTTTTGTTGCTGGTAAATAAAACATGTACCATTTCTCACTCATCTTTGTTGACACAATTTGAATTTCTGATATTTGTCTATCTTATTTGCCAGTCACTGCTATTTATATTAGTAGGCAATGCTATTTTCTATTTAATTTTGGTATGAGCACTATGCAAGAATAATTTTGAGTTTGGTATTTATACACTCTGTCATGCAGCAAACAAAACTCCTTTTAGAGAAAGTATTTCAAGAGAGAGAAGTGATAGTGAAACATTTGACAATTCTAAGAGTAAATCAGATTTAAACTGAATTTTTAAAAACTGTTGCACATCTAAATTCCTGAAGATGCCTCTTGATAGGCATTATAATTGAGATGCTGGTGAGTATAACTGGAGTAGAAGGACAATTTTTGATAATTCTTGGATCTAAGCCTTTAGCTTATAAATATTGAAAATGTGTTAACATGTATTGATGTTTGGTCATGAACTCTGGGGCAGTAAGATACATAAAGAAGACACTGAATACATAATAAATGAAAAAGGAGCTAAGCTTGCTCTTAATTGATGTACTTTCATATGGATTTTTTTTCTCACATGGAAAAGTATTTTTATTGTGAATTTTTGAAAAGGATTGTTTAGTGTACAAGTTTTCCAAACTTCAAAAATTTATGAATAAAATTTCAGAGTAAACTTCTTAGTTAATATAGTATAATAAGGATTCTGGAGATCACTTTAGTCCTATTATCAGTGTTATTTTCTAGCTCAATGCCAGTAATCTATTTTGCAGACTGAGTTTAATGAACTTTTAGGTGAATATTATTTTATATATTATCAAAACCTAGTAGAAGACTCTCCCACCATCAAATGTTTTGTCTTGTACACAGCAGTAAAAGATGTATGAAAATGATTTGAGAATATGAAATTTTTGAAGTTGTACATTCTGTTAAAAAAATAAGGACTTAAATTTCTCTAAACAAGAAGCAATATGGATGTATAGAGGAGGCAGAATTCTTCGTGAACAACAGTAATTAAATGTGTGTGTGTGTGTGTGTGTGTGTGTACACATATACATATATTTGCCAATGGAAAACTTGCATATCTTACAAATTTTTTTTTGGTTGGTCAAGGAAAACACCAAGCTTCTGATAGTGGAATGAAGTTTTGACTAAGGTCTTGTCTTCCTATCTGAAAAGAGTTCTCTGAGTATGAGTTTCTAACAATATGGGTAATCAGAAATTTTGAGAAGAAAAGAAAAGGCTAGTCTTGCAGGATGTCAAGAAAGGGCATGAACAAGCACTAGACAAAAAGAACACACAGAAAAAGACCCCTAATTGGATGAATACCCAGCTTGTCACAAAAATGCTTAATGATGGAGTAAAGATAAATTTGTCAGTTTCTCATATGTTGAATATTCATCATATAGTCTATGCAGCTGTATCTTAGAATGCCATTTCCTTGTGATAAAAACATAAAGCAGATTATGCTACTAGTTTATTCTTAGAAAGTATATTGTATACCTTATATGCCAAAGTGAGCTATTGAAGAACAGCTTTAAATGATTATTTTGTTATTCTCAGTATATTTTTTTACCATGTGATCAGACTGGTGGCACAAGGGTTACCCAATTCTTTTTTAAGGTAGGCAGAACATTATTATGTAAGTGAGAATATCTCTAGATGGTGATTCTGACATTGCAATTGATATTTGTTCAGTGTTAAAACTAATACAATATTTAAAGCATATCTGCAGTACACTTTCAGGTATGGACATTGTTCCTGATTATTCATTAGTAAGGGAACTGGTATTAATTATTACTCTAGTAGAATTTGCTGTCTAATACTAAGTCTACTCTTATCCTCTTAGATCTAACAACATGTGTGATTCAAATTTACAGAGCATATAATGTCTTAGAAGTAACATTAATAATATCTTATTGGAGTTTGTAATTCTGTGTCTTAAAGTGATTTAAATGACCACTTCAAATTTAAAAATATCTGTTCATATATTGCTTCATTTTTTGTGGAAAATATAATATTTGACTTTAAAAGGGGACTTGTAGTGCAGGTGGTAAAGATTTTCTCCCATTCTATAGACTCTCTGTTCATGTTCTTGATGTTTCCTTTGCTGTGAAGAAGCTCTTTAGGTTGATGGCATACTATTTATTGATTTTTTGATTTTACTTCTTGTGCTTTAGGAGTCGTATTGAGGAGGTCTGTTCCTGAGCCAATATGATGGAGAGTTGAGCCTACTTTTTCTTCTAGTAGGCGCAAGGTTTAATGCCAAGGTCCTTGATCCACTTTGAGGTGAGTTTTGTGCAGGGTGAAATATAGAGGTTCAATTCCAATCTACTACATATATATTTCCAGTTTTCCTATCACCATTTGTTGAAGGGACTATCTTTTTCACCAATTTATGTTTATGGTGCCTTTGCCTTGTTAGAGATAACTATATTTATATGAGCATGTATCTGTGTCTTCTGTTTTGTTCCATTGGTCTTCAATTCAATGCTATTTTTGTGCCAATACCATGCCATTTTAGCTACTGTAGCATTTTTGCTACCATACTATACCATTTTTGCTACTATAGCTCTGTAGTATAGCTCTGGTATGGTAATACCTTCTGTATTATTTTTCTCACTAAGGATTGCTTTGGCTATTATAGACTTCTTATTATTTCCAAATGAATTTCATTACTGCCTTTTCTATTTCTATGAGGAACATCACCATTAATCTCCAGGATATACAAAGAACTCAAAAAAGTTATCACCAATGAAACAAATAAACCAGTCAATGAATAGACAAAGGAACTGAAGAAGCACTTCACAAAAGACAAAATATGATTAGTCAACAAACACATGAAAAAATGTTTGACATCGCTAGCAATTAGAGAAATGCAAATTAAAACTATACTGAGAATCCATCTCACTCCAGTCAGAATGGCAATTATCCAGAATATAAGCAACAATAAATGTTGGAGAGGATGTGAGGAAAAAGGTATATTCATACATTGCTGGTGGGACTGCAAATTGGTGCAACCACTCTGGAAACAGTATGGAGACTCCTCAAAAACTTGGAATGAAACCACCATTTGACCCAGCTATCCCACTCCTGGGTCTATACCCAAAGAACTTAATATCAACATACTATAGTGATGTGGCCACATCAATGTTTATAGCAGCTCACATCACAATAGCTAACTATGGAACCAACCTGGGTGCCCTTCATTAGGTGAATGAATAAAGAAAATGTGGTATACATACACAATGGAATATTACTCAGCTATGATGAAGAATTAATTTAAGGCATTTCCTGGTAAATAGATGCAGCTGGAGGCTATAATACTAAGTTAAATAAGCCAATTCCCCCAAACCAAAGGCTAGATGTTCTCTCTGATATTTGGATGCTAAATCATAATAAGAGGAGGCAGTTGTGGAGAACAGGACTTCACTAAATTAGACAAAGGGGAATGAAGGGAAGGGAGGAGGATGGAAATAGCAAAGAAATAATTTTCCTGTGTTCATGTATGAATACACAACCAGTGTTAACTCCATATCATTACAACTACAAAAAGGAAGTTATATTCCATGGACATATAATATGTCAAAATACATTCTATTGTGATGCATGACTAAAAAGAACAAATAAAAAATTTAAAAAGAGAAGTAATGGTGATTCTACTAGCATTTGTAACATATAAATATATGTATTTCCTATCAAGTAATTTTCACTTGCTTGTCATGCCATTTTGTAGTGCATTAAATGTTGGCTCCCATAAGATAAATTCAGGCCCTAATTCCTGAAGTTTGCAAATGGTATCTTATTGGAAAAGGGGTCTTTCCAATTGTAGTTAAATTAGGAATCTCAAGATGAAAAAAGTCATCCTCAGTATTCCAGGTGGACCCTAAAATTAAGGACTAAAGACACAAAACACAAAAGAAGAAGCAATGTGATTGCTGAGTTAGAGACTAGAGTGGTATGTAAATAAGGACAGCCACAGGAAGCTGAGAGGGAAGGAATGCAATCTCCCTGGAGACTCTCAATACACCTCAATTTCTGACTTCTGGTTTCCACAACTGTGAGAGGAAAAAAAATTTTATTGTTTTCGGTCACTCAATTTGTGGTAACTTATTATGACAGCCACAGGAAACTACTCATCTCATTTTATCACAAACACTTTCTCATGTCATCATTAATATATTATATTGTAACAAAAACAAACAACCAGAATCATGTAAAGGAGGTGGCAATAGGGAGTGAGAGGTTTGAACAGAAAAACTTGTGGCAAAATCAGAAGACAGGGCAAAAATCAGAAATTTCTACTCATAAAACAAGAAATTTCAAAAACACTTTTTTCCCTTTCTTATTCTATTTTTTTTCTGATATTGCTATTTACTGTTTTCTACTTGTATAGGGTTGTTTAGGAATAGATCTTTTTTTTCTTCTTTCTACCTTTTTTTTCTTCTTTCTTTGGTACTGGGAATATTGAACCAATGACCTCACATATGCTAAGCAATTAAGCAATAGACTGTTTCTTAACCCTTTGGTTAAGTTAGTTCCAGGAACAGAGTGACAAGAGAAGTTAAGATGTGGTAGTTACAAATCTTAGGAAACCTTTCAAATTTACAAGGAGGCACAGTGCCTTTTAGTCATATGGACAATGCCCTGAAATCCATCCTTTTCTTATATGTAGGCTCAAAAATATTATCACAGCATGAAATTATTAATGTTATTTGCCCAAGGTGCAATTATTAATGCTATTTCTTACCTGAATATATGAAAATATTAAGTTTTATTTTTACAACAAAGTTTTATTTTTACAACATGTTTTAAAAAATTCTCTTGAGTGCTAGGCATCGTGGTGCATGCCTGTAATCCCAGCAGTTTGGGAAGTTGAGGTAGGAGGATCACAAGTTCAAAGCCAGGCTCAGCAACTTAGAGAGGCCCTAAACAACTTGGCAAGACTCTGTGGGAGTGGCTCAGGGGTTAAACACCTTTGGGTTCAATCCCTGCTGTCATTAAAAAAATATTCATATATATTCTTTTTGAGTGGATGTACTTACGTTTTTGTTTTTTTATTTACTTGTACAAATGTTTTAATTTAACTATACATAAGCATATAACCAAAGGATAATAGATGGGCAAGTTTTCTTCATTAATTGGGGGTCACTGATTACTTAGGAAATTAAAGTTTGGACATAAAATAAGCCATCAGTAATTTAAAGACATCTTAGGAAGTATGCTGAACTAACATATATAGAAAGATTATTTCAATTGCATTCAAGAAGTAATTCAACTATTTATGTTCAATAGTGGCTTTCTGTATATTGAATTCTCACATATCATCTTTGGAAGGTATAGTCATTTTTCTTAAAAATTGATGAGGAACTCATGAATTATATGTACTGAAAGTCAGACTTATTGTTCTTTGTAAGAATAGAGATTAAATTCAGTATTATATTTAAAAATCAGATTAAGTGAGAAGCACTGCCTTTTCTATCTTGTTTTATTTTAGAGAACATTATTTTCTAAGAGAAATTGAAAGGATTTTATTAATATTGGCCCAGACCCTGTTAGTAACCTCTGTCCAATAGCAAGATAGGTGGCAGATAAAGGGTTCTCTTCTTTTAGATTAATCTCCCTTTCCCCATCCCTAGCTATCGTCTGAATCCAATTTTATTTATAAAAAATAGAAATTGCTTTTTATTGTTCTCTAGGTAAATGTAAGAGTTTAAACATTTGTGAATGGGTCCTTTTTAGTGAAAAGATTCTACTTCTTGCAACTACCATCCCTTTCTGTCCCCTTACTCACCCTTCAATTATTTTATATTCTAATTATATTGAATTATTAAACCATGCTATTCTGTATCTCTGTACAATTTTATAAACATAGAGAAGTTCTGGATGAGATGCAATCATGTGCAAACATGATATCATTTGTCTTGAAAACTGGAGGACTGAGTGCATTTTCTATGCATTTATTATTTATTTATTTATTTATTTTGAGAGATAGTTTTTTAATATTTATTTTTTACTTTTTGGTGGACACAACATCTTTATTTTATTTTTATGTGGTGCTAAGGATTGAACCCAGTGCCCCATGCATGCCAGGCAAGCGTGCTACCCTTGAGCCACATCCCAGCCTTGCATTTATTTTTTATTCTATTTTTTTTTTTGTTACTGGAGATTTAACCCAAGGTCACTTTACCACTGAGCTATAACCCCAGCTTTTTTTTTTTTTTTTTTTTTTTTTTTTTTTTTTTTTGCGACTGGTGTGGGGAGGTGTCTCACAGAGTTGCTTAGGTCCTTGCTAAACAGTTGAGGCTGGTCTTGAACTTGTGATCCTCCTGTCTTGGTCTCCTGAGCTGCTGGAATTCAAGCATGCACCACCATGACTGACCACATTTATATTTTAGAATAGCTTGTTCTGAGGGAATAAAAAGAATGGGTAGGTGGTCCTAAGGGAACCAGCCAGTGAAGTTCACAAACAACCTTGAACTCAACATGTTGTCCATCATTTGTTCAGATCCCTATTAGGATCATCTGAATTCTATGGAGAAAAATGCAAAGAGGGTTGAAGAAAGGAAGAAAGAAAGAATGAAAGAAAGAAAGAAAGAAAGAAAGAAAGAAAGAAAGAAAGAAAGAAAGAAAGAAGGAAAGAAAGAAAGAAAGGAAAGAGAAAGAGTGAGTCATCAGTCAGCATTTCCCTAGAATCTATGTTCAAAAAAAAAAAAGGAACCACAGCACTGTTGCTTTTTGAGTCTTCTCCCTTTTTGGAACTATACAGCCCTCCTTGTAATTTTGATTACATGAGGGCTACACTGGTGACTCCCAGAGAAATGTGGTCACTATTATGTGATGATACTCTGAATCTCTTGGTACCAGAGATGCCACTGAAAATATACTTTTTTTATAAGTCTATATAAGATAGTATGGTCTGGGCACCATGGCTCATGTCTATAATTCCAGTGGCTCAGGAGGCTAAGGCAATAGAATCACAAGTTTGAGGCCAGCCACAGCAATTTAGTGAGGATCAAAACAACTTAATGAGATTGTCTCAAAATGAAAATTAAAAAGGGCTTGGGATGTGGCTCAGTGGTGAAACACCCCTGGGTTCAATCCTCCCCATCTCCCCCACAAAAGACACTAGGAGTTCTTATAGATGTTTGATGGATGTAGTAGTAGTGGAATTGGTATGGATTGAACATTCTGAATTAGGTAGAGCAAAGATACCAGGAAATTGTGACTGCTGTTTGTATTTTCTCTTTTAAAATGTTCAGAAATTTCACATGCTTTTGAAATTCAAA